TTTAATAAAAATAGTACATAGTACATCCACCCGAAGTCGGGAAAAGAGGTAATTAGATCAGAAGGGCACCCTATTTATTACTTTCCTAAGGTTAGCCGTACTACATTCTTTTTTTCTTCTTACTTGCTACTTGTGACAAAAAGAGCAGGTTAGGATAGATGCCCCTAGGAGCATGGGACATGGCTCTAAGGGCATCTATACCCAAAAAAAATTAGGCAACTATCCTTTTAGCATAGGATAGGTGCCTTTTTTAATAAAAAATATATTAACACTAAAAATCAAATTAAACATTAGCTATCCCGTCTAATTTATAAGATAGTCTATCAAATTATATAAAAATCTGCTTCATTTTACAGCTGACAAAAAAATTATCCATTAAAAGATACTTACCAATTTTATTTCGACGCTCGCTGAGGTTTGGCCGCGGAAGATTTTTGCTCTCACTGGCTAAACGAACGCACTCTTTGATGGTTTGCGAGGCGAAAAGTGGTACGGGGAGGTCCCTTTCTATTATGCATACTATAACTTTATGCTAAGTTGCTTGTAACATAGTGTACTTAAAATGGCGGCACCTATCCCACTGGGGCATGTATCCTGGAATTACCCTATTCATAAATTCAGTGCGGAAATGCAGCCAGCATTTTGGGCACCAATATGATGCCGACAGAGTGTCTCGCCTTTAAAAATGCGATTTTGCAACAAAAATGAAATGATTTCGTGCGCAATTATTATACAGCTATTTACTCTTATTAAAAGCTCTTTAAATAAGCTATTCAAATGAAATTAAATACACTTGCAGAATGCTATCTCAAGCCCTCGTCGCCAGCAAGGAACAATAAATCCACTCTACCCGCGTGCGGCTTTAACCCTCTATACTCTATACAGCGGTTCCCAAACTTATTTTGTCTACTGCCCACTTTGAGAATAATTTTTTTTTAGCGCCCCCATTTGTAGTCTAGTGTCGAGTGCTCAGTCGGTGTCTAAGAGTCCTCCTAGTAAATGACGCCTCCCAAGCTTCTACACAACGTCCCGATTTTTTTTCTGGGTCTCTTACCGCCCCCTTTAATCCTGCAGCGCCCACAAGGGGGCGTTATTGCCCACTTTGGGAAAGACTGCTCTAGTGTAGTGTAATACTGTATGTGCAAAGGATGTTGATAGCGAGCTTTGAAGTAATGAGATGTACCGAATATTCACCGACGATCTTGTGTGCCACTTGCGAATACAACTTCTATTCTATGTTATTACTAGCAGTTGCCCGCGGCTTCGCCCGCGTGAAATTTATTTTGTCACAGATCGTCATACATTATAGCCTATTTGTTATTCAGGGTTATAAACAATAATACTGTAAAGTTTAATCAAAATCCGTTCAGTAGTTTTTGCGTGAAAGAGTAATAAACATCCAGATATCCACACAAACTTTCGCATTTATAATATTAGTAGGATTAAGGTCAATCACAGGCTTGAATCTACTCTTCGAGTTTTGATTCCTACTCAAACGTCTTTTCACATTAATAACAGTTCTATGATTAATAAAATTATACTCGTAGAACATAGTTATGTTTAACTTTACAACGCTTTGTTAGCTCAAGCCAAGAAAAGTTAAATATTTGAGTGCTATTTCCTCGCTGTCTTTAGAATAAAACGGCCCTTTTGATGTAACTTAGAACTTAATAATATTCACCTATGCGTTTATGTTTTCTTATCTAATAAAAATCCTATGCGACACTGAAAAAAATACCTGTTCCTGTTTTGGTACTACACTGAAACGTACCAGGCTTTTAAAACTTCGGCCACAAATTATGTTCCACTTTGACCTCTGTCGTTGCCCTAAAAGCAAACGAAGGACGCGTGTTAGCACACATACCATGTGAAACTAGTACCTACGTCCTGAAGCTAAACATAGTAGCCACTAGTGTATTTGTAATAGGAGCTATATTGCAACAAAACTGTGTAGTCTCACGTGCTGTCGATTGTATTGTAGACTGTCCAAAATATATCCGGCTTGTATGTTTTGCTTTCATCTTCTTTTGGGACTTGGGTAAGTAATGCTTTTTGGTTGTGTCAACGATAATTTGATTTCATGTATAGTGAGAATTTCCTAGAAAAACTAGTTTGCGAGCACAAATTTTTTGCCCGACTGTCCAAAAGAGCTCCCTCCATATTTTAGCGGGCATTGAACATTATGTTAAGCTAGTTTACCAACATATTCTCGTAGCATACCTATCCTAAAACCATTTCCACATGTAAAAACAATACCAAAACGAGCAATATTGATGTAGGTCAACAGTTTTTTGTTCAAAACTGCTTTTTACTATTGACTGAAAAGTATTTTTTAATTTGTCGTAATTTAAGGATCTTATGGCAAACGGACCTAGCAAATGAGGTCACAAAGATTAAAAACTTCAAGAAAACTCTTTGTAATTTGAGGAAGAAAACTTCGTTAAGTTACTTACCTGCTTATTGTGTAGGTTTTCTCTATTACTAGGTAGTTAAACTAGATATGTATTCAGTAAAATTATGCTAATGTATGCAAAAGTTACACCTTTAAAGCTCATGGGAACCACGAAGTCAATAAAGGTCGGAAAGATCCCAGACAGCTCATGTATAATGGCGCAAGTACACTATGCGGGAAATTGACCAAGACTTAATAGTGTGAACACCATCTCGGTTACTTTCGCCTTCCCTCGCCCGTGCGTCGCTCATACTTCGATGTGCGGGTTAGCACTTCGACTTGGTCAATTTTCCGCATAGTGTACTTGCGCCATAACACAGTGAACTGCACTATGTAAACTATAGTATACGAAGGGCACTAAAAGCCCCGCGACCGGTCAACGTCGAAGTTCGTAACTGTTGTTATAATCTCACTCGGGTCGACAAGACACAATAGTTGCCCGAACTGGAGGCCGGCCACGATAGTGTTATGGACAAAGACTTCATAATATACTAGACAAGTTGTTTAGAATAAAAGTTTATAGAATAAATATCAAAACTCACTCACTCACACACTCAAATAGAATGCGAACATACCTACAAGTAAATTATGTAGGTTTAATTATCCTCGGCGCTTTTAAAAAGCCTAATTGCAGAAAATACTTAAAACAACATTACAACATAATGGTGCTGTCCTTGCCCATAAAATGAACTAAATGCGTTATTGATACCTATGTTACGGTTAATGTGATAAATTGAAAATTATTAATAATAACCGGTTATTATGAGTAATTGCCGACAGTCGCGGTAAAAGTGATAAATTAATCAGATTTAACAGTGATTATTTCATAATTCAACCTTGGTACTAACAAATTTCATAAAAGAGAACAACATCTTGTGTACGTGCTCGTGTACAGCCAAACTTTTGAATGTTTTGATATCATATATTAATATAATCTGGCATAATGAGTTTGGAATGTTTCTTGCATAATATTACTTTTCCATGATGCCTATAACATATTGTTTTGATTTAAAATGAAAAATAGGTTAAGGTGCGGCGGGGGTGGCCCTTGGGCCACCCCTAAGCCGCCTATTTAGTTTTATACACACATAAATGACCTCATATTAATCACATTTACCAAATCATGCGGTCATTATTCATAATAACCGGCGACTATTCATAATTTTCACATTTATCACTTTGACCGTAACACCTATAAGTAACTTACACCCGTATTCACAAGCGACGCTTGTTTATCTGAAGCAGCAAATCGAACACATAGCGTTGAATAGAGCTCTGTGATTTATTCGTGTGTGACTCTGTGCTTCCTCGACCTCATAGTAATGTTTGTGAATACGGACAATATCTTTCAGCAGATGAAGGAATACATAGACCAAGTACATGGGTAGTCTGTCTAGGAATACATAACTTCTATGGTTATCGGACCTATAACTTAGTAATCAACAAGCAATTTGCACCGCCTTCCTTGGCAGAGTTAGCGTTTTAGTTCTTTAGTCATTTCATTACATCATTATCATTTCAGCCACAGGACGTCCACTGCTGACCATAAGTAGGCCTCCCCCAATGATTTCCACAATGGCCGGTTGGTGGCGAACTGCATCCAGCGCCTTCCCGCTACCTTTATGAGGTCGTCGGTCCACCTTGCGGGTTTCGCTAGATTCCTAAATATAAATTAGGTACAAAATACGTAAAGCAGACATATAAAATTAACTTCTAGTTAGCATCTGACCTTAAGTGAACCAAGGAAGAAAATAAATCCACCAAAATCACATAACTTTGGTCCCTTTCTTTCTCAATGCTCAATTCAATCACGAATTCGTACTTCGCATTAAATACGTTTACTTTGAAGTACCGACCATCGTTAACAAATGAGCAGCTAATCCCTAGCGTTTCGTTGTGCAAAGGAAATGATCAGTCGGTCTGCAGTAGCCAAGTACGTTTCATGAGCCAAGCGCTCTCGACTGGAGCCTCTGACGGCCCATTAGTGAGCGACGCTTTTTCACTGAAAAAAGCTTAATTTCCGCCCGCCATGCCGAATGTTTGTTACTGAATATTTAAATTTGAGTTATTGTTTTTGTTTCAGGATATACAGAGTGTTGATTTCAATCCTCGTCATATTTATTTAGGTGATCTATTATTATGAATTATATATATAAACGCATTATCCACTGAAGGAAGCCACGTAAAGTAGGCAGTGTAAATAGGTATTTTTCTTTGACTAAGTAATTGAAATCAACACCCTGTATACTACTGCAAATAATTGGAGAGATGTGCTTGTTGATAAATACAATAAGGATAAATGAATATTTGTTTGATGGATTAAAAGCTGGGCACAAAAGCACATGTGATCAGATTAAATAAAACTTCATTTACAAGAATTACACATTTATTTCTAAGTTTGACGATTATGGCACTTAGTTACCCATTCATGTAAACACTAGACTTATGCTACTTATAAATAATTTATTATGAAAGACAAGTAATAGAAAATACTGGTTACATTGTTATTCAACTAATACAATAATATTGTGTTCCCATTCTATGATAGAGCTGTAGTATGCTCTAGAGTTTATTTCATTAGTAATTCCTATCATTAGAACTTCACTAGGTACATAAAATGCAACTTAACGTGTTGTGAAACATTGTTTCCATTCGCATTTGTGTGGTGATAAGACTTTAGGTAATATGAATTTAAAGCCTAAGTACTACTACACAATGGTATCTAGTTTGTTTTTAAGAACAACTAAAAGTCTAACACAGTGAGTTGATACCTGAAATATAAAGCTTTGATCTCTTACAGAGTTTAAGAATAGGGCTGCAAGAACGACATTTAATTAGTGGGTAATTTTCCCCAGAAATCCTTCTTTCTTTTAATTTGCAGTGATCGTTATTATTTTAAAGAATATTATAGCGGTATACTAACCGACCTCCTTATTTCATACTGAACTACAAAAAGGAGGAAAGGAAAAGGGAAAATCAAGAGTTTTCTAGGATGAAATTCGGCTTGTTTTTCAACTCAGTAAACATGATCTGACCTAGCTGTTTTACTTTATTGTAATCTGCTTACACCATGTATACTATACCCACATCTACATTATATTCGCAACTCCAGGTAAGTATCTGTTGTCTAAAAAGGGTGTCTACGCAATTTTTATTTAATATGTCTGACGCGCGGTTTGGGGGTTCGCGGGCTTTTCCCTAATGTGGGTGGATTTTAACACCTTTTTTTGTAGTTGCAGCACCCGTTTAGAAAATAAAATAAGGTATACAATATAAAAATAAGGCTTAGTACTTATTTTATATTGTATACCCTATTTTAAATTATCTAAATTTATCTAAGCTTGGTGTAAATTGTACTTTTGTAATGAATTAAAAAGAAAGGTAGAGCCTAGTACAAAGTCACATTTTGTTAAAAGAAAAGCAACCAACTAGTAATCGATTCGGAAATGAACACATTGTCATGTCAGCCGGTAAATAATTACTAGCCAGCAGGTATTATTAAAATGGGCGATATGTTATGATTACCTCAGGTAGGTACACCGCGGGTGGGGTAGGCTCTGTGTTAGATTCTTGATGGTACCCTTTTATTCTGTACTGCTTTAAAGTTTAAAGAAACAAATAGAATACCACCCATTTTCAATTGACAAGACCTGAAATTCGTTTTCACTAAAAGTATTGATGACATCTATGTCTATGTGCTTAAGTTTAAGGGTTAATTTTCCCACTCTTCACACTTTAGTTTGGGGGTCTATTGTTTGATTTCCATTACGAGTTACTTAGCAACACCATCAGTAGCGCTTTATAAGTATACAATATGGGAAACCATTGGTCTAGCTAAGGGATACCTAGGGGTTGTCAGTGAAAACGGGCATACATAATTCTTTTAATTGCTTTTGCTTCGGTAATACGGTTCCAAATTCATCGCTATCCCGAGCTGCGTCGACTGACATAGTTATCCACATCCCGGCACACAGCGCAGTTTCTCTTCAGCTCATCTGCAGCGAAATACTCGCAGTACTGGGTGGCGTCGGCAGCGGGGCAGCGCAGCAGTCCGCAGCGCTTGATATTAAGATTTGGGTAACCACTTGATCTAGCTAGAGGCTACCTAGGCTATTTAGGGGCTTGGCAGTGAAAACGGGCATACATAATTCATATAATTGCTTTTGCTTTGGTAATACGGTTCCAAATTCATCGTTATCCCGAGCTGCGTCGACTGACAGAGTTATCGACATCCCTACACGCATTGCAGCAGTACTTTCTGAAAGGGGGAACCGCGCAGTTTCTCTTCAGCTCATCTGCAGCGAAATACTCGCAGTACTGGGTGTCGTCAGCGGCGGGGCAGCGCCGCAGTCGGCAGCGCTTGATATTAAGATTTGGGTCTGGAGGCTAATTAGGCTAGTGAGGGGCTTGGCAGTGCAAACGGGCATACATAATTCTTTTAATTGCTTTTCGCTTTGGTAATCTGACTCCAAATCTATCCCGAGCTGTGTCGACTGACAGAATTATCGACATCCCTTGCAGCAGTATTTTCTGAAAGGGGGGACCGCGCAGTTTCTCTTCAGCTCATCTGCAGCGAAATACTCGCAGTACTGGGCGGCGTCGGCAGCGGGGCAGCGCAGCAGTCCGCAGCGCTTGATATTAAGATTTGGGTAACCACTTGATCTAACTAGAAGCTACCTAGGCTATTTAGGGGCTTGTCAGTGAAAACGGGCATACGTAATTCCTTTAATTGTTTTCAGCTTTGTTCATAAATCCAAATTCTATCCCAAGCTGCGTCGACTGACAGAGTTATCAACATCCCTGCACGCGTTGCAGCAGTATTTCCTAAAAGGTGGAACAGCGCAGTTTCTCTTCAGCTCATCTACAGCGAAATACTCGCAGTACTGAGTCGCATCGGCAGCGGGGCAGGCGGGCGCGCGGGCGGGGGGGCAGCGCCGCAGTCGGCAGCGCTTGCGTCGCTCGCGGGGCTTCGGACCGCAGTATAGTTCGTCTGATGCTGGACAGACTAGAGGGCGGTAGGAGACACCGCGACCGCAGGTGGTTGAACACTGAAAAGATTGATAAATGTTACAAAATATGTACCTACCTAACCTACGTTACATTTCATAGATAAATAAATATTCACCTAATGAGGTACTCAAAATTATTTGGAAATCATGTCAGAAATAAACATGACATTGTAAGGGTTCAGCCAAACCAACGCGATCAGCCGGCGAGCAGTGATGATAATCAATGCATTTAAGTCTGATCGCCATCGCTGCACGCCGGCTGATCGCGTGTGATCGCGTTGGTTTGGCTGAACCTTAAATAATGGAAAATTCTGTTGTTGGATGCTTTGTCGTAAGGTCCCATTTAGTCCACAGCATACCTAGAGTTAGGTATCTTAAACTATTATAGCGCTGTTGAAGATTAAAGTAATTAAGTCACTCTACTAACAGACAGGTCTCGAGATCACAATAGTTACATCTCAATAGACGAGAAGGTATTATCTAGATGAAATCCGACAATTTGAGAGGTAAAGGAGACTGAAACGAAAGCAAATAAACTGTTTAATTAAACTTTCTTTCAAAATTTAGATCTTTGAGAACATAAAGTTCTAAAGTGGAATTGAAATTACGATTCTAACGGTAGAGTCACGTTGAGTCAATACAATTATCAGAAAGGATAGGTTATTTCCGAAATGTTAGGGCCCTTTCCTGCGGCAATCCAGTTTTGCAGGATCCAGCAAATGTATGAAACTGTGCACCTACCATGAGTTTACGTTAGGTGTGCTCGCTAGCGAGTACGTCAAAAATCTCTATGAAGATTTTGTTTCTTGAAAGTAGCCGCTAGGGGCGTTGCACAATATGTCATACAATTAATGTCATTTTTTTACGTAGTCGCTAGCGAGCACACCTAACGTAAACTCATGGTAAGCACACTGGACTGTCGTCTAAACACATAAATGTGTTTTTGAAATTCGTATTCCAAATACGAACGGATCGGTTTTTTACGGGACACTGCAGACCGAATGTTCGTGTGAATATTAATATTAAAACAAACGCACTAAACGGGATTGAAAAAAACAGTTCCTGCAAAAAACGGGTAATTATTATCTCCGTGGGAAAGAGCCCTTACCTGGTTCCTTCAAACACGGAAATGTATTTGTTTTGGAAGTCCAAATACATCTATTTGGGAATCTGATTGCGGTGGGCGTTGATTACAGCCATTTGCCCGCGGGGTTCGTTAGTCAAACGCCGATCAGTGAAGCAAGATAAACCAAACACAAATATGAAAAAGTCGGAACTCGAAAAAGTCGAATGAATTTGTGGAATTTATCAGCGTTAATAAAATGATCGTCACCATTCATTGAACGGTGGTAATAAATAGCAGTTACTTTATGACTTGTGATTCTCATTGAATATAACGATACGTTATAAAATCATATTGATATCAGTATGGTCGTTAGGTACTAGGAATCGGACATTATTTTGAAATAAACTGCGAAATGTTGTCAGTAAAAACTAAAGTAGATATCATTATTTTCGTAAAAAACATCTAGGTTTCACAAAACGTCTTTGCCCAACAGAAAACATAGAATCAAAGACTCAATAAGCGCTCAACAGGCCTTTCAGGAAAATCGATTCGGTAATTAAACTTGATATCGTCGGAAAAGGCTTTTAACGTGTTTTCATAGAATTTTGAAATGGAATATGCTTTCTGGTTGTAAATTAAAATACAATGGCAGATTTCTGATTAAATTGTGTTATGATTTCAATTTTCGCCATGATGACTAAGTACCTACCTAACTACAAGTTAATAAAGGCCCCGTTGCGGTTAGCTCATAAACATTTAATCCATCTCAAGTAGTGAAGGCTAAGTTAGTCCCTGGGGAAAGTTAACTGTCATTAGAACCGCAACTAAGTATCACTTAATCCACAGTGTTTATCACAATAACATTTACTTAATGGTCAATTGTCCTCTAGTTTCTGGTGTAAAGCAGAGGGCTGTAAATCATCATTATCATCTCAGCCATAGGACGTCCACTGCTGAACGAAGGATCTATGCTTTCCATGTTGCTCGGTTGGTAGCGGCCTGCGTCTAGCGCCTTCCTTTAAACTTATCTTTCTTAATTCTATATAAACTTAGCTATAAATGCATAAAGTACAAGTAACTACTGCTACTTATATTTACCGGAGTCCAGGCCATCTCCCGCCAGTAGACCGGGCAAGGAATCCTGTTGCAAGGTTGTTGCTTTGCAGGTTTTTCTGAAGGACAGAGCGCAGGTGACACACTGTGCCTAATTAGCTCCATTCTTGAAGATGTCCTTTGAGAAAATAACAAACGAAGTTTAGTTGTAGTACAGATATTGTACCTACTACAGAAATAAGTGAACATCAGACCTCCCCAACTAGTCTGTCCAGAGCGTGGGGAGCGTTAGGCATAATCCTTCCTTTTGCCTCTGGTAAATTAGAAAGGGTAGGGTATCTATAGCCCTCCTGCAGTGCAGATTAAATGACCTGATGATTAAAATAAAATATTAAGTTCCATTTACGGACAAATTACTCACGTGAGGTTAGCTGGTACGCAGAAAAGTTGCCTCTCCTGCATACCCTCGGTTCCACAGGTGGCGCTGCATGTCTCCCATTCATCGGGAATCCATTTGAACTCGCAGCTGTCAGAAAATAACAAAACCATGACTAACTAATAAGATATGACCAACTTAGGTGTTGTATAGTTTTAATTTCTACAAATTTTCAGAGAAAAAGGCTTAGGTAAGGAATTTAACTTAAAGACAAATTCATCTGTAAAGAAAAACAAAAGATAACAAAATACTAACTATTCTTGTAAAGGCGAAGGAGAAAAGTATGTTTAGTTACTATGGCGTTATTGTTAATAGGGATCAATAACCTTGAGGAGTTTGGGGCCTCCTATCGATTGAACCCTTACCAAAGTACCTAACTTGAAACGTCTAAGTTTAGCCAAATATGCCTTTGATAAATTCTGCAATAAGACCAATTAACTGTTATGAGCGGCGTGTTATGAGTTAGTACGAATTATATCTTCTTCTAAAAAAAGTTCTCTATAAGTCTATCTTCTAAAAAAAGTCTTAGTTAATTTTCTTGGAACGAAAGCATTTAAGTAAATACTGAAATAATTAAAATTTGTTCAGTCACTTGTGCAGATTTGAATAAACCTGACTCAAAGTAAAAGTAATTAAATGGATCTATGTAGATAAGACCTTCATAATTCACACTAACTTTAGGTTTTCAGATTTAGGTCTGCGGGAAGAGATACTTATTAAAGTAGTCTCCGTTTCAGTTCTATTGGTCATTGTCTATCAGTCTCCCATCACGTAATGAGTAAAAGAGATGAGAGAAAAATTTAAACGGTGTTAAAAGTCGCCCCTATGACCCGTGGTCTACGAGGCAGTTGTAAGTAACCCCTCATTCTCAGAAGGCCCTAGTAATATACTTACATGATATGTAAAGAGGAGGGATTCGGGAGAAAACCTAAAAAGCTTTCGCAAACAATAAATTTAATCATGTCACTTGATTCCTTTATTAAATATTCAGGATCGAATTTCGTAGAATGAGATCTTTCCTGAAATTTCCGAAAGCGAGTAATTTATGGAGCTCAAATTGAAAAGCGTTGTCGGTGTTTGAGCTATAGCAAACAAGTATGGGTATTAATACAATTAAATATTAAGGCGGGATCGATTCTATGAGTGGATCGAGGCGGGTGTGAACCGAACCATTATTCACTATAAAAACTCAGTAAAACTCATTTATTTCTGTAAGTAGGCTTTAAAAAAGCACTTTTACACGTCCCAGTATTAACCCTACCACTGCTTCAGGACAATAAATGGGCCAGTGCTGAGAAGAAGCAGCGCAAGAAACTCAGACACTATTGTCAGCCTCTTTTTCAAAGGTTTACAGGTTTTCAAAATTCATAGTTATAAATATTTATGCGAGCTAGGCAGTTACGCATCCCAAACATTTTTATCTTTTAAATAATCATCGACTTTATAGTAGCCCTTTTTCATTAAGGTACTTTTAATATGTGCTTTGAATTTATGAATGGGTAGTTCTACAACAGTTTGTGGTAATTTATTAAATAATTTAATACATTTCCCCATAAATGAATTCCCAATCTTATGCAGTCTGAAATTTGGAACGGCAAGTTTATTTTTGTTTCTTGTATTAAAGTTATGCAAATCGCTCTTTTTCGTGAATTGCTCTATATTTTTGCGAACATATAAAAGGTTTTCATAAATGAACTGTGAAGCTACTGTCAGTATGTTAATTTCCTTAAAAAATTATTTCAAGGAAAATCGGGGTCCAAGGTTATAAATGGCCCGCACTGCTCTCTTCTGCAGAACAAACACAGTTTCAATGTCCGCGGCTGAGCCCCACAACAATATGCCGTATGACATTATACTGTGAAAATAGCTAAAATATACTAGCCTTGCCGTTTCAATGTCAGTTAATTGCCTTATCTTTCTCACTGCAAAAGCAGCTAGATTAGGTAGTACTTTTAATTAGCTCATAAAAGATTACCAGCTTTAAGCTTTTCGCTTAAATATTTTGAAAATATCTGTAATTCTGAGGAAAAGATTTTGCTATAGCTCCTCCGTCAGCAGCACAAAAGAGAAGTGGCAAACTACGCCACCAAAACTGACTGAAAATTGTGTAACTGAAATCTGCGCTAGGAAAGCACTGAAAAATGGTTAGAGAATTATTAAGAAGTGATATATTTGGGTATTACGACTTTTTATACAATGTAATGGTTTGTTTCATGTTCGTTTGTTTCAGCGAAATGACATCCACTGAATTCTACTGCTGGACAAAGACATCCCCTGAGGTTTTGTCCAGAGATTTGAGATTTCCACGACGCCCGGTTTTGCGCTACCGCGGCTGCTCTGTCCGTTTCTCAATGTGTTTGTAAAAAGGCTGAATTTAATTATGTCGTGGGCTGCAATGCTTACCTTTTTGCTAAGAGGAGAATGGGTAAAATAGGGTCCGATGGGAAAATCAACCCTATTAGGCTATTCGATAAAATTTCGTGGTATAAAGGCGGCCGGATTGATCGTTTCTTTATTCATAATCGTCAGCTCACCTTAGATAGCCTAGGTCTCCATAAATTTGTAATAATTGTTAGACTATTGTAGTCATTGAATTTTGGGCTAATCGGGGAAAGTTCAAATAATTTAGAAGCAAGGTTTGACGCTTAAGGTTATCGTCCTTTTCCTTTTTACGAACGGGAATGTGGGTCACCCAATACTAATAAAATGCCTGCCTTTTTTGAGACTCATACGTTTTTACTTTTAGTCCGGGGGTCCCGCGCATCTCTACCTACGTTAACGAAAATCGAAGCAATTATTGTGGGTAATATAAAGTGCCTTTCATTTCAGAGGGCTGAGTGTGAGTTTACATCAAACGTCCTCACCAGTGAGCGCGTTAAAAAATATATAGAAATTTTAGTTCTTGAAAGTTTCCGCAAGGTGCGCTGTACAATCCGTCATACATTTATTGACATTTTTTTTACGCGCTCACTTCACTAGTGAGAACGTTTGATGTAAAGTCACACTAAGCCAGCTCAGCTCAGGCCAACCTCCCTTCCCTATTTACCTGTGAGTGTTGCATTTCTCGTACCGCTGCGGCGGGCACCTCTGTCCGCGAAGGCATCGCGGGCGCACCAGGCGCACGCCGCCACCACACGACGCAGAACACTGGCCCCGCTCCGTCGACCATCTAGAGAAAAAGCAGAAGCATCTGAACAGGAGTTAACCCCCTTTTTGAAGTCTGTTTGAGGACCCATTGATTTCGGGGTAAAAAAGTAATGTGTACAGCCAATCAGTACCTAAAAGCTACAGGTAAAGCGTAAAAACTGAGTCGGTTTCTGCGGTAGCGGTGGCCCGGGAGTGGTGATATGTGCCGTAACAGAGTTATCATGGGATACTACATGCATCATGTATTTTAAGTCTCCGAAAACGTCCTCCCGTACCGCTTTTATACTGCAGGAACTGACCTAGTTGTTCGCTATAATCGCTTCTGAAAAGGCGCCATGGTAAACAGTTCTGGATGCACACAAAATCTAAAAATCTTTCGTGAAAAAGTCCACATTGCTGACCAACCAAGATAAAAAAGTAAGAATATTAATAACTGTAGAATTCGTAAATGCTTTTCGAGGATAATTTGCTTTATGGGGGAAAATAATGAAACAGAGAACAAAAGAATTTTCCATTTAATTTGCTCAGTGAAACGAGTTAGATAGAATTTCGCGCCCGCGACGCGAAGGCGCGATATTACGACAAAGCTGCCGTTTGAAATATGCTCCTAAAATGTCAGCAGCGTGATATGCATTAGCGTGTTGAAGGAGACGATTTTTGGATTTTCCCGGCTTGGTTATTGTATAGGGCCTTAATTAACTCAATATTCATACCTAATACCTACGTTTATTGTTAGGTAAATAATATTCAGGCTGTCCCAAAAAGTAGTGTCAAGCCGAAGCCCAGAGCCCATCCTGTATGTTGTAAAAAAAAATCATAACTCGTAAACTATCAAAAATCGCGGAACATACATGGGGGTGATTTGGATAGCCCTAGTGATGCTCTACCTCTGGGATTTGGCTTGATACTACTTTTTGGAACATCCTGTATAAGAGGGGGCAAATGGACTTGTCAGTCATTTAATAACCAATGTTAATCAACTAACTACCAGAAATGTTGTTAATGCGTTGTTTGAATGCAGCAATACAGTGTCATTATAGTCCCTTTCCAGAGGCCATTAGTATCAAGTGCAGTCGACACTCGCCTCGGGATTCACGAAACTCGCGTTAGGTAAAAGTTTAAAATACCGTATAAGGTGCAATTTAAACTTTCACGAGTTGATTCGAGCACACTGCAAACTACAATATCGACAGTTGACATTAAAACTACTGGAAACTAATATTTCAGCATTCGATAAATGTCAAAGTAAAAAGGCCTGAATAAAATTAAATTCCTTACAAATATGAGTAGAGGTTGACCACATTAACTCGCAATTAGAGATTTAGATAAACCATAGTTAAACCTTAGTGACAAACGTCGTCAGTGTCAACCTTTTTTGAGACAGACTAAAAAATAGAATTGCCAAGTCGAATTTGATTAGGCTTCGGAGAAATCGTGATTTAGAATTCTCGTTACACTGTATGCTTTCCCAGAAGATTGTTTTAACCCACTAATATTATACCCACTATGTTTTAACTTCATTTTATTAGGTTACAGCGAACATTATCTTAGAACCAACAGAAAGGCCGCCCTAACTGACGTTAAATTGACTAAGACCGCAATCTATCACTCAGATCAAAGAGCTCGTTAAAATCTAGCCTAAACACTTAAAGCACTAAGACTGACTTAAGCGAGTAATTGGTGGATTAAGTACGTATATTTACTATGTGTTTAAACTTTGGGAGGTAAATATTGTAATAATTAAACATGTCTGGAGATATGTCAGTAGGATGGGAACTCGTGTGAGGGTATTTGATTGACATAACCACTGATTATACAAGGGGGATTGGTTAGTTTACATTTATACTAGCATTTGCCTGTGGTTTTATCCGCTTGGATTTTAATTTCCGTTAAATAAAATACTATTCACTACATACTAGTAGATCTCGCTTTCATCCCTCAACAAGATATCCCTCATCATAGCCCTATACTCTTTTTAGGTCCTATAATATCTCTCTAATAAAATTAATCGTAGTATGTATTTCAGAGTTAAGGAGTGAAATGTAACAGACAGACAGTTTTCGCCTTCCTATATTAATATAATATGAATGAAACAAAAGCAACGATCTTGGTGTAGGATCACAGTCACATCCATTATCACTATTGAGTCAATATTTATTCGCATAATCTTGTCTTTATCTTCGACTAAGGTGCTTATATTACGTGTATTTAAGCCATGAATTTACCTTTAGGAAAGAACTCCTCAAGGACGGGCATAAATAATCCTTTCAACGTAATTCTGTCGGTGTTAATATTTAATGGTGTTGGAGCGTGTTATAGAGTGTTACTAGCCTATTCTGTATTACGGGTTAGGTACATAACCCTTAAGTTGTGGGTAAGTTTTTCTATGAAAGTGGCTGCCACTAGGCTACTGAGGTTGTTTACTTATTTTGAATTTTAAAAAGTGGTCTAGTGGCTCTATTGTAGAATTTATAAGGAGAGGATAAGGTAAGGTGTATTTTAGATTGACGTCTATTCACTAAGCAATAATAAGTTAGTTTACGTTTCTTGTAGAAAATTACTGTGGTTACATATATTTATGATAGAATTGCAGTACACCTACTCGTAAGTCTTACTTTAGTGTTTCGGTGTCCTTCTAGACTTGGTACCTAATATGTGCCATTATTTATTCTATATTTACATCAAGTTGACACAATACAACATGATGTTGTATACAAATAAACAATTTCTTCAATTACATGACTAGCTAGACCTAGAAGTTTATACCATGTCAGGAAAATAAAGCTAAGTCGTTCGTTAAGTTGTGCGTGACTCTCTCGACTACTTAGATATCATAGAAGCCTGCAGGATAATGCTTATCTTATTGAGTAAATATTTACGGGAATATGATGCGTATGAATTCAAGAGTAAAACTGAGTTGGAATGAAGTATTTGTACAGCCTTATTACTTGTGAATAGAGTGCAGTTCTACGAAAAGCTCGGGATTTGACGCTTCGACGAATTTGAGCCCGCGGCATTTCATGATGGATTTTCCTTTGTACGCACACAAAAAGGAAAATCAATCGTGACAAGCCGCTGGAGGCTGCTGCATGTTGCAGTAGCAGCAATTGTAAAAAAAAGAAAAACAGAGTTTTGTGAATGGTTTTGTGAAACTGAAAAAGGTCAATTGTTGGACTCGTACACAAAGGGATCCGTCCCTTCGGACAAGATTGAACCCTTTTTTATGACTTTTATGTAATCTAAATCGGCACGATTAACGCCGGCACGATTAACGCCAGTTCTTGTTCCTTATGTTTTACTTTTTATTATGTCAGCATTGGAAAAACATAGCTTGAGATAGTTAGTGGAGGTATAATAATTGGGTCTCGTTACTACTAGGTAACCTTTTGGTGCAGACCCTTAAAAAACGGTCAACTTATTAAAAGCATGGGTTTTCTAGTCAAATCCTTGAGTTTCTGTGTTATAAAACAATAAAAGAAACAAGAAGTATCAAGGAATAAAAACAAGAACAGCTAAATTACCTATTTCTCAAAGTAAATTCGATTTTATACAAAAGAAAAATAGTGAAGGTTGCTTTGAAGTTTGCTTAAGCGAAGGCATCCAAAGGCATCGATGGCTGAAGTTTCGCGCCTGTAAGCATCTTTGGAGGAGGAAAGTATGGAGGAAGGCAAATATTCACCGAAAGTTCACAAAGTATCGGGAATGTCGAAAGCTCCCCCGAGGCGGTATCGAGTAACTAGAATATTGTTTGTGCAACTATATTTATTTATTCAACTCTGGAAGCGCTCAGCGAACGAACGGTTTGTGTACAATTGGATTACTTACGGCATGCAGTGCATTCAGGATATATTTGTAGTTTTGCCTCCATTTGTGAACTATATTGTTCCGAACTTTATTTTCAACTTTACTGCCTTCTTCTACAAACGTAGGTACCTATATTCATTATAGCTTTAGAACGTTTAAGATTAATTAAATATCTAGTAGACTTTACTACAGATACGTGTGTAAAATAAGAAAATAACTCAACGAGTAGAATAAAAGTAACTAGGTCAATCTATCTTTTTTCTGCTTACTGACCTTATTATTATGAAGCGCCCCCCTGTTTTTGTCCATTTTGTATATTTTTTCTTATTGACTTGCTTCGGTATTTGTAGTTATATTGCGATTAAACAAATTGCTACGACTCGTGAGAGCCACAATTTAAGTTCGCAATATCTACGAGTTTAACTACGAAGTCCTTGAGCAAAGGAGTTACGGCGATGCCAGCATTTCTCGCTATTAGGGCTGTCGGGCACTCTACAAATCAGACAAGCGACCTAGTTTCGCGGTAAAATAAAAATAAAACCCGGGGATCTGTTTATTTTTGCCGCCTCCGCCGTTTTATTAAACGCACACTTCTGGCTGTGGGCTGGTAATCAGAATCCTCTGCAAAGCGATTTTAGTTCTTTAGTTGACACAGCTGTTTGTTTATGGGATTGCGGGATGATCTTAAAATACGGGCCTAAAGCCATCCAGATGAGTTCAATGAAAAAATATTTTTCATAGAGCTTGATATTAGATTACGATAAGTAATTGTAACGGTATTATTACTTTGCTAATTTCTTACAAGAGATATAATTTCAGCAGGTAATTTATTTCGGGAATGGGTGTCGGCATAGATTTTGTCGTGAGGTAGGTACCTCTTTCATTTTTTTAATCAACAAATAAAATTATGTGAAGGGTGTGATTGCAGTCTAGATATTGAAATTCAATAGACTGTTGGCTTCGTATTTCATGTGTTTCATAATCATTAGTATTTTTTATTGAAGCTAGCAACCGGCAACCCTATAGACACATGAGATGTCAAACGTCACACACGTCGCCTGCACATTACGTCTTATACCTACCTGCGCTGTACGACGGTTACATTTTATTAAACGCCAAGATCCGCGGCATTGCACGCGCCATTGCGTTTATAGCCTCCAAATTGAGATTTATTCGCCGTGAAAAAGCTTTGTTGTATTTCATATCCTCACAAAGGGAGGGAATATAAATTAAGTAATATGGCAACACTTGAGATTGTAATCGGACAGGGAATACGTGGAAACTGAGCTTAGTTGTGACATAAAATCCAATAAACATCGCAAACAACTTTGCCAAATGAAAACTGTTCTCGTGCTAGCACTCACAACATTTAGAGCATAGGTAAATCATGTGAATAAACCCGTCTTTAAAAATGAGAGAAGTAATAAGTTTAATGCGATAAAAAAGCTAAACTTTAGAAAACACGTAGGTAAACAACAGCTAGTCAATCTCGATCATTCAATCTAAAACTGATCTATTGAAGAATTTTACCATTTTGAGTAACGTACGGCTAAATTTTCGTAGCAAAATCTCCCCTAATGCTTCGTAAGAGCTTCCTTACCTTGGGGTACTGTCGTCTGTTCACAAATTCCCAACACGACAATACAACTAGGTACATTGAAAGCTGAACCAATAGGATTACTGATCATTATGTTCGCAAATCTGCTTTTAATGAACATGCGAGCATTACCTGTACTCCAGGGGTCGGTAGCGCGACGCCGGCGTGCTGTGGTTGACGGCGACCACCACGCTAGCTACCTCGTTATCCGGCACTCGGTGCTCGGGGACTGCCTGGTAAATAAACATATCAATTAATCATCCAGTAATATTATTGTGAATGCGAAAGTAATTCTGTATATTTGGATAATTCTACTTTGTTCACCTGGGTGAAGAAAGTGGAATTTTTAGTGTGCTCATTTCACCTCAGAACTACCTATTTCACCTAGCTTCATTTTCCAGGTGAATTGAGTCGACTAGTGGTCGCCTTTGTACACCTAGGAATTCATTTACACATGTGAATAAGATGCGAATACCTGGGTGAATTAATTCATAGGTAAACAAAGGCGACTGCTTTAGTCGAATCAATTCACCTTGGTAAAGTGGTTCCCAGGTGAAATGAGACCACTAAAAATTCCACTTTGTTCACCTGGGTAAGTTCAATAATACCGGTCTGTGTAAGTATATCTGTTGTTACGGTAAACTTTACTTGAATCTTGGAAAGTGACGACAAAAACTTTTGCTACAACAAACTAGTTAGGTTTGACGGTTTTTGAAATGCGTGATAATAGTTGTAGAGCATTTCTCATTTAGGAATTTGAAAATTCTAATATTGGTAAATAACAGTGATTGGTTTAGAATAGTTTTGAATACTTTCAAATTTTGTTTTGCGTTTATCTAAGCCTAGTTATTTGTTGTTAAGGCAGTGTAAACTTATTTGCTTAAGACTATAGTGCGCCTAAATTTTTTATCAAAGCAACGCACTAAAAAAATATTCATGCAGGCGAGACGCATAAAATTTATCAGCATGATTCATCTATTGAACCGGGATCGTCATAAAGTTCCGACGGTACATAAAAAAGGGATCGGGTATCAAACCGGGTCCGGTGACCCCTGTCACTCTTTTCAAAACCGGATACTGTGCAAACGTAATAATTACCAGCTGTAGTCCTACAAATGGCCCTAAACAACTAAATAAAACCTCGGCGAAAACAAAACTCGCCGCCTAAACCAACCTCGCGGAAAATAAGGTCACCACGTGTGACAAAAAAAGCCTTTTGAATAAAACACTGTAAAGGGAAATTAGATGTAAAGTCGGCGTGAGTTCCCAATTAACATCAGTGCTGAGTTGGAAGCGGCCGTGAATAATTAAGGACTACCCTTATCATCTAATGTTGTGCTTGGTTACACTCTTCATAGTTCCCTTTTGTATAGAGCTCAGGGTCAACACGTAGCGCCGAGGTTTGAATGTAAAGCGGACCCGTGGAAGTGATTCAAATTGTGCTCAAGTTATGAAATTGTGTGCTAATTTTAGACGCACGTGCGCAAATAAGACCGCGGGAAAATTATTGTTAACAATCCTTTCTAGAATGTTTATTATACACGTTTCACTTTAGGGAATAGTTCTAAAATTAAAGTTTCTCTGACTCAGATTGAAGAAAAGTTAATGTAATATCTTGGAGTAGACTAAAGAAGAATAGCGACATTGTTTAGAAAAACCAGTCAAGTGTGTGTTGATTTTGGACTTGTAGTCGGGTTTCATAGTCCAATACGGTAGAATAAATTGTTTGTATTTTCATTATCTACGTTTAAACGGGTTCCTGTATCGAAAAATAATCAAAAATAACAAAACTTGACCGGTAGATAAGGAAGGTTGATAAAGGTTCATTTTTGTTTTACAACCGATCCCCAAAAAGCAATTAGCCAGTTTCCAGAATGGCAATTTTTCCAACAATATTTCTTTCTCGTTTCTTAACAATAGAAAGAAACCCTCTTACCCTGACAAGATAAGGCTGAGAGGAATGTTATAATTAAAAACTTTACAATGAACAAAGTTAGTACTATCCGCTCTCACAGTCCGTTGTTCTTTCAAGTTTGTAGTACACAAACTACAAGAAGTTACCACTTAAAACTTATGCTAAGTACGCTTTTCGTACAAATACCCTGCCTGCTAGTATCAATTTAGAGTTACGATGTAGTAGATAGTAAGTATGGTACACCGATATCGAAGTCAAATATCGTGAAATCACAATATCCAAACTAGGGTTGCTCACATAGGAAATACATCGATGTTTTTATTAGACGCAACATCGGAACAGATGGATGTTTTTTCAATATCTAAGTAAGATATTCTTATTTATTTTATTAGCCCAGTAAACGAAACATATTCGTCGATAAAAAACACTGTCCTAACATTATTTTGCTTATGCATCATTCAGCGTTAGCGTTTGAAGCAAAAAAAGAAGGAACTGAACTCACAACTTTTCCATAGGATGACGCGTCAGTAAATAAAATCTGCGTATCGTCGAATGGATTTGTCATATCGATATTTAATATCATCTCTCTAATCTCATAAGATTTTGTGCACTATGTAGAAAAAGCTTACATCCTTGCTAATATTCCTGGTAACTTTACCTTCCAGAGGGTAATAGGGAGTGTGGGCATAATATTTGAAAAATATTTAGGTATTTGATCCCCATATTTGTAATAAAATGTTATGCGAGTTACCTTCCAGGAATAAGACGGCTCTTGACAATATGTTTTAAGCATTTCAATATCTAAGATCGGAAACCTTAATAGGGTGGGTACCTACTTCCATAATATGTCCCATTCAATGACGGATAATATGTAATGTATTAAAAGCGTGGAACTTACCATAATCATCAAATCCGTTTGTAGCCTCGAGTTGGCAGTGATAGAAATGTCAGTGTCAGTCTGATTCCACCTCAGGAGGGTTCCAGCTGCCACCACGGAACCCTCCCACCCGTAACGTTCACTCCCCTCCTTTATATTTATCACGTTGTTATCAACTTCTACAATCTGCAGGTTCTGAGGGACAGGCTCGTATTTCAAGTAATTGTCTTGGTAATGGTCAGTTTCGAATTTCCTTGAGTTGTGTTTGCTCAGTTCGAGAATGTGCCGATCCCTTTTGCGCTCTCGGATGGCTATTTTAAGGGGAATTGGGGTGGATATTTTGATGGAGACTTGGTGGGCGTCGTGCGGTATTACTACCATGCGGGTCCAACCTAAAACAAAGAAAAGTAGCCTAAAATACTTACAAATACAATAACAAACTATCAAAGAACATAATGAATTCAAACTAGATGAACTTTTAGAAGGTAAAGTAGGGCAACTACTTTAACCATTGTAGCAAGAGACGTCTCTCTTAGACTTCACTAATAGAATTCTCAAAGTTGGAAAAGAAAAATTAAATGCAGTTAGCAATGAAATAGTAGGTAATTTAAACAGAAAAACACTACTGTGAAAATTGGACAAAACGTGTTTTCTGAACAACTTTAGTGGACAATGTGGACATGAAATAATTTCAGTCGGTAATCACTTATCGGCAAGCGACAGCCATTAATTGGCTGCCTAACCGAATTATTCATCCATCACTATCACACTAATTAAGCGTGATGCAGACCATGAACAACAAATACTACATTGTATAGATAGTACGATAGCAGGTGCGGTGCACTTTGGAATTTGTTTTTTTTGTTTTATTTGTACATAAGACAGTTTTCATAATTGTGTAACCAGCAGTATTTAGTAGATTGATCAGTGTTATTAATCATGAAAGATTAGATTTATACTTCGCAATTGTCCCTAGTCATAGCAGTCATGGACCTAAAAGTTTTAAAATCTGGGCATAATTTCTAACTAGGTACAAGAGACTCAAATCTGGGCATCAAGTCCGCTAATTTACAAATTAATGGCTCAATTGAATCATAATTGAATCTCAATAGAATTGTTTGACATATTCGGTATTCTGCTATTATGAAAAGACCAATGGTTTTCCAGTGACATTCCATTGAACTGCCATTAGACTACTGTGGTCTAGACAAAGTGCAAATTATAATCGCAAACCAGTCCAAAAGTGGTCGAAAAGCCCCTTTTTTGTATGGAGTTTTGACGGATTCGATTTACGGGCCTGGTTTAAACTGGGTCAAAAATATGTGCCATCATCCCATGTCGTATATTGTCATATATTGTTACCTTTTTCAAGATGTCTGGTGTAGATGTATGTGTTATTGCTGCAGTATCCATCGGGACACCAGTTGCAGCCCAGGTCTGTCGCGTTGCATTGACCTCTTACGCACGCGCCCTGTTGGGTTGAAAAACTTGTTAAAATTGTAAATAATTATCATAAAAATATCATACGATACGAGTAACTCGTAGTTACTTACTTCTAAAGTGCTGCTTTATCAATGAAAATATATTTGAGAGACCATGTTTTTTTTGTACTGCGAGTGAATTAGTGAAGTATTATGGTGAAATGAAGTTGTTACATGTATATTTTGGTGCGTAATTGGTGAACTATTGCCGAACCTTTTTGGCGACAAATATTATTTTACTCAGAACATGATCAGGTCAAGTTATTAGTAGGTAGTTCAAATTCTGTCTGATTCTCAAAATATAAATTATACGTTGAAACTACTTGAAACCTAATTACCCAATTTAAAATTCCCTACTTCAATTTAAATTCCCTACTTCCCAGTTCTACACAGTAGCATTAGTTTTCCTCAAAGCTCGCTCTTCTAATTTCCAAGGACCAACTTTCAGTTTATTACATTTACTCAACTTTGAAACAGTTACAGTAGTTAGCAAGGTAAATAATTATTTGGTTATTTGTTGCATTATGATTAAGAGAAAGTCAACGTAAATTAAGCGAACTTCCATCTGTACCAAAGATTAGTTTAAAATAACAAAATTAATCTGTTACTGTGTACCAAAATGTTGTGAAATCTTAAGCTAGACTAATCGTAGATTTAAAAAGTTGACAGAGAAAAACAGCGTTGATATCAGCTAGCTAAGATTTTTTACTAAACATTAATACAGAAACGATGACAACCAGACACTGGGCCACAGTTATGATAAAAGGCCACATAAAAACGTCCGTAAACATTTTATTTCCCCACCCAGACCACTGTGTATTTTGTATTCCATAAAACAAGATAAATGAGAAATGAGTGCTTCATTTTTTAAAAGATCACACCGGTTTTGGGCTGAAACGGAATGATTCTAACAAAAATTTCGCAACAAATTTTGTTCGCGGAAAGGAATTCGTTTTATAGGAGACTCAATTATTTTTCCATTTGTTTTGAGGCTTGTATAAGGGAGCAAAAGAAAGTAAAGTGGATTATTGTCGCACCGCTGGTCCGGGAGCCTCATTGAAATTCATTAGTTTAATGTAGGGTTCCTCGAAAATAAACGGCTGTAAACTGGCTAATAAAGACTTTTAATTTGAATCGGTCAATCCTCTTAAAGTTAAGTCCGATTGAATGGTTTATTGCCAAGTATTAAGTAATTAAGCCAGTCTCTCGGGTTCCTAATAAAGTTTCAATTGTATCTAAAATATTAGGTAAAGGTTATCAGTGACTGACTAGATTTCTAATAGACGTAACCATTTTTTTTTTAATTTCATTCGTGGAACATAAGTATACAATATTATGTCATCATCATCATCATCATCATCATTTCAGCCACAGGACGTCCACTGCTGAACATAGGCCTCCCCCAATGACTTCCACATCGCACGGTTGGTAGCGGCCTGCATCCAGCGACTGACGGCCGATGGGGCAGCAAGGTTCTAGAATGGAGGCCACGTACCGGAAAACGCAGCGTGGGACGTCCACCCACAAGGTGGACCGACGACCAATATTATGTAGGTAGGTATAATCAGGTAGTCGGTATAACTATCACATTTGTTATACCGACCTTCAGGCTTCAGGCTGCCACAAGCATATAACTACTATACCTACTTCTGAAAGGAAATACATATGTAGGTACATATTAGCAAAATACTACGAACCTGGTAGCAAACATCAAAGGGGCGGTCGTAGCTGCAGGGCGCGCCGTCGGGCAGGGCTCCGAACGTAGACGCGTCCCCGCCAGAGAAATCCACACACCAAATTTCACATTGCTTGGATTCTGGGTAAAATATAAAGCAAAATTATATCAAAGTAAATGAAAAAAATTGCCAATATTAAATTTATTTGTAAATGGATAGATAATTAACGCCCGTATTCACAAACGATGCTTGCTTAAGTGTGCAGAAAATCAAACGTTGAATGGAACTCTGTGATTGGTTCGTGTGTCACCCTGTGCGTCCATGCGCACTGTGAGACCTCATAGTAATGTTTGTGTGTGTTAATAAGGGCGTTAGCCTCTTTCGCTAGTAGGTAATGCTCACGTCTGACTGCTGTCTTTGTAGATTAAGATTAAAATATTTTAGTAAAGATAAAGTTAGCCGTGTGGTTTCGTTAGAGTTAAGAGGACCTAAGTTTTCCTCTGGATGTCGTTCCTCATCCTAGACTGCATCTCATTTGACATCAGATGCGATTGCCATACCTGCATTGTTCTGCCTAAATAAAGTTAAAGTTGTACAACTTACCATCACTGTGCATAAACGGTATGAGCCTCCGATCCTGCCTAGCGCAGAGTTCAGAGCGCGCATCGCGCGTGTCAGCGCACGCTCTGCCCGCCCAGCACGCCGTCACCTGCGACCCGGCGCCTTCGCAGGCGGTGTTTGACACTGACCTGTGGCAGAAAAAAAATGCCCGTTATTTTCTGAAAGTCAAACACTTTTATAGAAATCCTAATAAAGATGTAAGTACTTTCCTTCAGGAATCGGAAGAGAGAGAATGGACTTCAGTAGTTTCGAAAAAAAAACCGAATGAAGTTAGTCTTACGCAATCCGTGGCACTCGTCTTATGGTTCAGTAAAAATATGTAGGATCGCCATCGCGCACGCGAACTGCACGCGATGGTTTGGCTGAACCTTTACTGGCTCTTCTACCTTCGTCTCTACTCGCCCTGCATGAGCTTATACTCGTACAGACGGCTATCGCATCAACTCACCCCTTGTACCGACAGCGCCGTATGCGCCGGCGCAGCCCGTAGCCACAGTCGGCGCTGCACTCGCTCCAAGTGCTCCACTCGTCCCACTGCGGAGTAGCTGGCTCCTCCACCTTCGTCTCCACTTGTACCGACATCAGTTGTACCGACACTAGTACCGACATCATCACTTGTACCGACACTAGTACAGACTACTGTCGCATCAGCTCACCCCTTGTACCGACAGCGCCGTATGCGCCGGCGCAGCCCGTAGCCGCAGTCGGCGCTGCACTCGCTCCAAGTGCTCCACTCGTCCCACTGCGGAGTAGCTGGCTCCTCCACCTTCGTCTCCACTTGCCCCGGCATGAGCTCGCATACTCGGTCCACGCACCACTGGGACAAAATAAATAAGATTGAGGTTTTATGTATGTCATACGGGTGGGATACATACATAGGTCACTAGCTGTAGTGTGATAGTTCTAAAATAGACGGTAAAAAAGAAACATTGCCACTGCAATTAAACGAAACATATTATTATGCTCGTGCTTTGTCCTCGAGATTAGAAATAAGAACTATGTAGTATCACGTACGGTGATGCCAGTTTACGCACTGTTAGTTGAGGATATATTTTTTTTTTTTTTTTTTTTTTTGTGGGTATCTCACTTTACATCTTATTTGACATTGGTATCCGTCGTCAGTCACGATTCAGTGCTCTGCCAGTTCGCACTTCTTCTACTTAAATACGTACCCAGTGTTAAAAATAGTGTTTTTGTGTCGTCAAAATGCCGAACGAAAAACGTCAAATGAGGATAAGGAACATTTGCTGAAGAAAATAAATAAATTGGAGCAGAAGATATGGGGTGCTGAACGTCGTTCAAGCGGTTCAACAGAAGATCATCGTTACACATTACCATAATGCGAACAACCATCCCGGGTTGTCTCTTTATGCCAGTTGTGTTTTTTGTCTGAGGGTTTCTCTGCCTCGACTTTTATGGCCATACAGTAGAAATGGTTTTTGTTTTGACATGTCTATGTATGAATTTTATTAATATTGTTATGTTTTTAATTTAATTAATTATGTATGTTGTTATTGTTTAATTTAAAATTTGTATAATTGATTAATTTATTGAATTATTAATTTATGGTTTTTATTATTATTTTTTACTCTTCTTTCTGTTTTTGTTAAATAGCGCTGCAAAAAGGCACCCACTGAAAATCAGTGTCTTGGCAGTCACACTGTCAAGATATTACTGAGTGGGTGACCTTTTTTGGCAACTAAGTAATTTTTTTTTTCTTTTTTATGTATGTCTTTGTTCCCTGAATCTGTTGTTGTCAAAATAAAATTATTTTCTTTCTTTCTTTTCTTTCTTCTAGATACCCACAAAAAAAAAAAAAAAAATATATCCTCAACTAACAGTGCGTAAACTGGCATCACCGTACGTGATACTACATAGTTCTTATTTCTAATCTCTTCGGACAAAGCCCTCGCATAATTATGATAGAACTTCACTTTTTAAGTTCGTTTAATCATTAATTATGTTTTGAAGTTTGTTACGTCCTGGTTCCATAGTTTATCATACTGTATAATGTAGGTAGTCAACTAAAAGTTCTTCATTCAACTAAAAAGCAACATTTTAATAACATCATGTTTATGCAATTGGAAATAATTACATAATGATGTGCGAGGTAGGCTTAATGGAGTGGTACAATGTCGCAATTATTTATTCATCCACGCTTCATTGTTCGCCACTCTGTAATTAAATATAATGCTTAATAGCTCTTGAGTTACAGTTTTAAAAATTAAACGAACGGATTCATCAATGAACGCTAAGTGCGTTGTTCAAACGGCTCTTTCCTATTCAATTTTACGTGCGTAGTGTAAAGCGATTTTAATAAAACTTTTAGCTTTTAATGTCCCGACATAAAAACGTTTAGAAAGTAAGAATATTATCATTTATTTTGTTTATTTATTTACATAGGTACCTACTTGCATTTCTATTTTAAAGGGATAATCGAGATAATGAATTAATTGTTTCAGATGTCCGTAATAAACATAATCGCGAGTGCATAAAAGTAGAATATAATTTAAGTTCCCAGGAACGGTTTGCAAAAGTACATTATTTTATAATTCCAGTTTCAGAATACTCATGAAACATAAAATAATGTAATAAAATACTTTTCTCATTTAACATTTCATCGTGGGTCGAGTACTGAGGCCACTTTAAGTCCTACTTATTTAAAATGTTTTCCTCGCTAGCAAATGCTATTAGTACTTAAATGAAGAGTAGTAAAATAAGTTTATTTCATTTACCATCAAGAGAGACGGCTGTAGACATACATAATGATGTTGTCGGAAACACGATGTCATTTCATTTTCAAGCTTATTTTTAAATAAATATTTTCTGTACTAGGTACGTAATGTACCTATTATTCCAGCATGTTTTCTTCTTTTTGTCGTGTCGACAAAAAACCTATACAGTGTCAGCCCAAATCTCCAGCATGTAATATCCTAAGACAGTGTTTTTCAACCTGTGGGTCGCGACCCCCTGGGGGGTCGCGAAGCCTCTATAGGGGGGTCGCGAGAGGTCGTAAAAACTACCTCAGTAAAAAAACCAGAGAAGTTAAGAGCTAGATTATCCGAAATCTAACTATGCAAATGCATAAATGTTGTATAGATTTAAGAATTCGTTCCCCACAACATCTTTGTAAAAGGCATGAAAAAAAACGAACGGTCGGGGGTCGCAAACATTTTTTTCATGGGGGTCGCGGCATTAAAAACGGTTGAAAAACACTGTCCTAAAATATTGACAATCCATTTATTTTATTTATACATTGAATTTATTTATAACGTAAAATGAAAATGACTACTTTTGTGCCATAAATGTAAATTCGTTTATAATTTCCCAAAAGCTTATTGATGTAAGTAATCAAAATTGTGTTGTTAATACGATTTCTTTAAATGTTTCTAAGCTTTTTCTCTGAATAGTTTCAGATTTGGCTTAACCAAATACAAAGATCAATACTCTCAAGTGTGGTGGGTGGTGGTACTTATAGTAGTCTATTAATATTGGCGATTTGCTTCGTAATGCTGTGAACAATAAGTCAATTAAGTTTAGAATTCCTATTCATCTCGAAGAGTAAGCAGGTAGGTACTTCAATCCGTACGGTACGGTGAATGTTATTGCATTACTCATTTTTTGTTCATCTCTTTGTCCTGCACTGCAGACCAGACGGTTATTATTTCGCAATCAAGTGTAATTTAAAATTTATTAGCGAGACGTAAAGTCTGGGCCACATGAGAGCCTCGGCGCGATCAATGCGAAATTGGATGAAAGCACACCTGAGACTTTTATCGCTCGGTTTTGTTAGTGAACCCCTTTTGTCATCGCAAGATATACTCGGCTACCTATTTTGCATTTACTTACTAATAAGCTCTACAATTCTATGGGAAGGGAGTAGAAATTAGATACGAATAAATAACGAGTTGAATAAAATTTTTGTTTCATGAACAAATTACTTTACAAAATGATCTTCCACTTTAAAATGTACAGCAATTTACCGCTGTAAATTATCAAACCTACTACAAACTTTGTAATAAGTAGATATTTATTAAGAAACAAATATTCAAACATCTCACCGTTATATTCTTCTATTTACACCTTCAACACGTGCTTTGTGTGTCCTCCCTACAAAGCACTGCGCATAAAATTTTAAATCACTATTATTTCCCGCGAACAACTCTGCTTTCACTTACAAAGAGACAGAGTAAATAAGAACGCGCTAACGCAAATTCGAGATGAAAACATCATAAAAGCATTCTCGCTTTACTTTGTGCAGCGAGGCATTTATCTGAAGGCCTCAGCTGGCCATTTGCATTGCTCGAGAGTGTTCACAAAGGATTTTTGTTGAATTTATGCTGTTTCACGTGCGATTGTGTGGGCACGTACGCGGCGGAATCCGAACGCGACGTATTCGCTTGTACCATTGTAGACTGATTCAGCAGGTTTATTCTTCAGAGCGATTCTCAAAAGGGATGCATTACAATCTCTTATAAATTAATTTGTAAAGTAGACAGATTGGACTAGAGAAGATTTTGCTTGTTGTCTTCTCGGCGTTATTTACTTTGCATATAATTATGTATATCTTCGCTTTTTTTTTAAGTTACCTACTAGAGTGGGACAAACATCACTCACAAGTAGATCGTGATATACAAGAAATAAAGTCGTTAATGCAGTCACTAGATCTTATGATAGGTACGTAAGACATTGGTCATGGACGCCAGGACGTGTGATGCAACCTTAACAACGGGTGATCCTACTGTATCTTCGTATGATGAGTGCACTGATCGATTCTATTTTTTGTTGCAGCCGTGTAGGGTTGCATGTGGATTGTGGAATGCTCCTCGTATTGACTCGTGCAATATTACTTGCAAGTTATCCCTTTGCATTCAATGCTGTAAAGGTTGCGCAATTGGAAATTGAGAAAGGTATTGGATCGAGAAAAATGATATGATTCTGGAAAACCTTTGTTTGTATTTATTATGTTATGTTTGTATTTCATACTCTATTAAATCGAATATGTGACGCTTACGTGACAATAGAGTTCCGAATAAGAGCACACTCAAGGTGTCCTTCGATTTTATAAGAACTTGTCGAAATCAGAAACCAAATAGAGCAAACAAACTTATTCGGTATGTCTCTGGGTGTGTCAGGGTACCTAATCTATGTATGTTATCACATATCTTTATGTGGTAGGTATCTTGCAAGTGTGATAATTCCAAAGAGTGATTTTACTTAGACGGCCGAACTTCGTTGCGGATATTGCAACGACAAGCCTTTCTTGATAGGTAATATGGTACTTGCATTGAGGGCTGACATAATCACGGGACTTATCTCTGTCGCTTTGGGCTTGTCGCCTCTGAGTCATACTGAATGGTTCCACTGATCTTAATCTCGTGTTGCTAAGATGCAACTAGAAACTGTGGCTTCAATATGAAGACGTCTGCTGATGCAGAGCTACTGTTACATCGCTAAGCCGGCTATTTTGAATGCGCTAAATCCTTAGTAAATTGTTTTAAAGAGGAATTTCATAGCGTATTTCCACCAGAGTGGCGATAATTTACAACGGGATGGTTTACTTTTTATATCATCTTTGTCCATTGAGGTATAACATTAACAAATTATTTTGCTAGAGCAAGAGCTATAGTATCATACCTAGTAAGGCCTCAGAATAAGTAATAGTTGGTAAGGCAGCATAGTTTCGACCTTGTAGTTTAAAGCGCATGAAATGATGTGCCATAATTTGCCGAAAATACAACACCAGGTTATATAGGAGTCCCGCCACTCACAAACCATCCTCGAGTTTACCGCTATTTGTGGAAAGACATAGCTCTCCATGCTTGATCAAATACTGAAGAGAGGGCCTGGGCTAAGATAGATAATCAACTCATTTCTCTAATCTCACCCGGTTATGTCCACAAGGCGTGCCTTCCATCGGCGGAGCTCGCTTGGATCGGCAGACGTGCGGCACCGCGCGGTGAGCGCACCAGAGCCTTGAGCACGCTGACTTCACCTTCACCGTCCTGCATACTGAGAACCTGCAATGTAAACAAACTCGTTAATTTATACGATAGTGTATGTTTGTGATGCTGATGACATCTTCCTTGATTTTTTTATGCAGAACAAGGCCGACCGCAGTCACACCAAAATGTGAGATGCAGTCTAACCTCGTAGCGCCCACGGATTTTTTGGATCCTCTTTAACTACGACCCGACCGTCCTTCTTATAGGANTTATAAACTTACTTACTACCTACCCTTTTTCACATGAACGCGTAGAGATATTAAAGTTGAAATTCATATCAAACACTTCTTAAATTTAATTGCCTCTAAACTGTGAGAAATTCTAAATCAACGCAAAAATTCCAAACGCTGAGGTAGGTACCTACCTATAATGCAAATATAGGAAAAATAAAGAAATAAAAAATAATCATACCGCATATTTTGAAATTCGCCACTACTCGCAACGGAATCAAGTAAGTAATTTGATTTAATACGTCATAAATTGTAAACCGCTACGTTTGTACGGCGGAACCCTCGGTGTGCGAGCCCGACTCGCACTTGGCCGGTTTTTTTATTGTATTTGTAACTTTTTATATTGTTGATACCGTATTTTTGATACGTAGCAACAGAACCATACTAATAATGTTAACGTAGGCTGTTTGTCTATCAGCAGGCTGTATCTCATGAAATGTAATAGGACTTAATAGGAAACATTATAAGAAACTTATACACGCAAGAAACGTATTATTGAAAGAAAGAAAATATTGGCGGTTTTCGTTCCTTTAAATATTGGAAAGAGTCAGTCTACCATTTGACCAGTATTGATTTGAGTTGTTTCTAGTTTGAATTTTGTTTGAATCTATCAATATTTGAGGCTAGTATTGATTTATTCAATAAATAGCAATACAAAAGATTAGTTTGCGTATAAATTAAAGTCAAAATAGGTATTATTCCTTTATTTAACCGTGTTATTCAATTGCTCCAATTATAGTGTAACCTGTCATTAGCTTGATGCAACCGGTAATAAAAGACTTTAATCTATTATTACGGTAGATTATAAAACACCCTGCAATCATCGCGCACTAGAATCTACTTTCATAATAGTTTAAATATACTTTACCCTTTTTTCCAACTGTTAAAAGGGCTTAGTAGAAAAACGACACTTTAGAGGTAGTGCATTTAGTACTTACTTCAAAAAGAATACAGTTTATAATCACGAACAGCAAAGTTATGTAATATTGAGGGACCCAAACTTCAGTAAACCTTTGAGCCTTGCAGAAAACCGGCTTTCCTCACTACACTCGTAAATTGTTTTGGAAAACTCCTTGTTAGCAAAACTTTACCTTTTCCAGTAAACGACGGCGCGCTCAGTAAATACCTTTTCTCAAATATCTAGTCTCTTGTGGATTCTAGAACTTTATAAAACGACTCTGTTTGAAATTATAAAATGGAACAAAAGTTTATATTTATTAAAATTGGTAACTTCCACAACATCATAAACATTATGTATTTGAAAACGTAAGTCTCATTTTCTTTTTACTGTGTTAAATTTAAATTTTATGATTACTTATTTAAATGTTATACCTAAGTAAATAAAAAATATTTGATAGATCTTGATTCTCCTCGTAATAATGAAAATAGTTACAAATAAATTATTTAATTGATTGAACAGTTTCAGGGTTTCAGTTAATACTTATACTTAGGTACTCGTTGGTAAAAACATGCTATTTTTCTTTAACTTTCAAAGTGATTCATATCGCCCTTAATTATGATTCCGTATAGTCAATTACCGGACAAGCCAGTTGCCAAAAAAGGTTTGTAAATTAAAAGATAACGCACGCACGGTTAATTAGTCCATCCAGCTACATTGTGTGTGGTAATTATCGTTTGTTTGCCATGGAAAGATTGAGTGAACGCCTCATCTCGTCATACAATGTACTATCTTCCTTTGTTCTCAATAATTAGGGCCACGTCACGAAATTAAGCGCAGCCCGACCTAAATTCCCGTGAATCATATCGTCAGATCGTCAGGCGATCGACCGTCGGTTAATCGAGAGAGTTATTCCGACTTCAATTCACATTTCAAGACAAGTCTAACTGAAGCGTTAAACTCCTAATAAACAGATCGACAAAGTTACGAGGCAAAGGAATCACACGAATATTCCGCCTTTGGCATAGACTTCCACCCACAGCTTAGGTGCGGTTCATGTTAGAGAGAATTTCCCAAGTTTCATCGTAATGGTTTTTCTTTTCAGATGGAATATTCCGACCAGCATTTTTTATTCAAACATTTCTATCATCCCGACCGAACCTTTAAATTTAATTACCTTACCTTCCTTTACTAGTTCGTCGACAAAAAGCAATTCAAATTACACTGAAATTATGTTTTTATTTCTGCCTGAACAAATATTAGTTTCTACTCAGAAAAATGTATTACGCAGCAATAAGAAAACTCATATTCAATCTCAGCTATGAAAGGTCACAAATGTATCCTACCAGTCACATGTGTATCATAAAATCGTATTATATTACATACGTATTAAAAGATATTACTCCACGTTTCAGGGAGGAAAGTGAGCGGATCATATAACAAAGGGAAGGATTTTTCATGTCGGATAATCTTTATAAAGGTGGACGTCAGACGCAGACGTAAAAGCGTAAGTAGGTAATCATCTAACCTTAGAACTAGTATGGACAGCACATCAAGCTTACCACTGTGGCATCTTATGTAGTTGTAATAAGTGTTATTTTGTAACAATAATGTAAAACCTGATACGCTTCTGTATTTCCACGAGTGTTCTTCGTATTTGGACGGTGGGAGCGCCTTATATGAGTCAGTAGAGCTGGAAGAGTTCAATGACTCGTGAAATTGCGGTTTAGTTTTCATGAAGATAACCGAAAAAAGGTACATACTAAAAAAGGAGACAGTTCTTTAGACAAAAACTATTTTTTAAATTACAACGGTTCAAAAGTTGGAAACTAAACCGTGTACATTACGTAGTGTTTGATTTTTAATTCTCGATGTTATCTAGGTGTCTGAAAACGTGTACATTGTACATGTGACAATATCGATATAGGCACTATCGAAACCTAATCTGTCAGCTCGAATATCCCACTACATCGAGATTTGCTCGGAATACCCCAGATACGGTCCGTCATCTTATAAGACTGACATCTTCATTATACGATCTTATATCAAAGGCTATAAAGTTCAAATTGGGTGAATACGAGATAGATTAAGCGAATCTCCTTCGGGTTGTATGGATCAGGGTATTGGCATTCAGCTATTGCATGTTTCCTTTGGAGCTACACTTAATAAGACTATCAAAGGCAATTTGATTGGATTACATACGTAATTAAATGATGTTATCAATCATATAAACATCTATCGGTTGAATGACTTTTTCTACTTATATCGTATACCTATTTTGATTGCTATTCAAAAAATTCAAAAACTTGTAAGGTGCGCCACATACCTAGCCAGTATATTGTCATTTTACTCGCCAAATTGTAACTTACATAGTAGATAGTAAGTTACCTACCTAACTACTACGTTAGGTACTACGTAGTAGGTAACATTGCTATCTTAGCTTTACTCTTTATTGTTTTTCTTTCTTTACTTTACACTTTATCAATCTCAAAATAATAACTTTCACGAGATGTTTTCCGCCATGAGTTTGAAAACGCTCTAAAATGGCAGACAAGAACTTAGCATTGTTGTTCAAGTTACCTTAACTAGCATCATTAATAATTAACGTAACTTATCTTACCCTTCTCCAAACTCCGTCCGACACTGTTCGTCCATGGTGAACACGTAGTTTGAGATCTCCTTAGCACCTCCCAGTTCCACCCCTTCGTCTTGACTTCTCTCATGGAGGCACCACCATTTCCTTGAAAAATATCATAATTATGAATTTTGTGTATTCAAAACATAAGTGTGTTTGTTCAAAGTATATATTTGACCGACAGCCTTGCAATATAAATGTGGGACCAAGGACCAAGACCCAAATCAATCAAACTGATAGACTAAGTAACAATAAGTACCTAAAGGTTGTCCATAAGTGATTTTGACATTTTATCCTCTAGCAAAGATACGTTAAAAATGTAAAATAATAAATACCATATTTAATTAGGCTAGGCCCGTGTATTTTTAATTCTCAATGTAACGACAGTCATTTGTTTTTAGTAACTTTTTTCATCAAAACTTTTTTTTTCTGAATGGCCAGTGCCACAAAATAGTATGTACCTATTTAGAAAAAGTTTTGAAATAAAAATAATTTGATGAAAAAAATATTTAACTAGCTTACTCGTAATACCTGCATTTATTTATTTTTTGTAATAGATAAGTATAATTAAGAATACATTGTTATTACTTTGACTTTTCGTGGAACTGCTCCTTGGAACATGCAGACCAGGCGTAGTTTTGAAGAGTGGCTAGCACCGTTGGCGCCATCACCGATCCGCGGAGAGAATCCTTTTCGCATTGACCTTCTCCATCGTGGGTGAGACCTAGTCTGTGGAAAAAAATATTTGTAACTTGTATTTGGAATGTTAAATAATTAAAAATGAAAAAAATAGTGGCCAGTATTTTTTTTATTACAAAAACGAGTTTCATAAAAAGCCCAATTATATGGATTGTTCTTTTACTTATTTTAAATGTTAATTTCTTACAATATGTGTTACTTACGGTCTACTTGTTCAAAACATAATTTATCAATGTAATTGGGCGAAATAAATTACTATGTTAATCGCTTTAAATTAAAATGGTCGAAACCAAACTCTGGTAATTAAGTATTAGATCTCTCCGCTCTAATTTACGACATTCTATTTGGGGTTCCATAACGGTTTGTAAATGAAATATTTATTTATTGTTTTATAACCTGCGGTTATCATAAAATTCGCGATCAGGAAGTCATAAGTAGGAGCTGGTCTGTAAACAAAATAACGTTTAAAATAGATTTATTGGAAGTTCAAGTGGCTTTTGAGAAATTGGCCGTAACGTGGTCTTAGCCCGAGTCAGTGTCTTGAGTCTTGACTCATTCGCTTAATTGCGTTTTCTCGTAACTCTCTATTAATGTATGTTAAGTATATACTGTATCATAGAGACTTAAAAGCTTACTTTTCTTTGAAATGTAGAATGTTTGTAGTTTCTTCAAGTATTACAGATATAGGGTGAAGATGCAGAGAATTAATATCGATCACAGATTAGGCAGAGGTCATTAGCATCACCTTATGGTGTGACACCATGGTACAGTCAGCGATAAACACATAAATATCAGTACGAGTAAAATTGTGTTTCAGAATACGGATATGACTGACAATTGAATATTTTTTTCTATTACGATTGAATAACGGCAGAAGAAAAATGACAGAATTTAAGGAAGAAATTTTTGGCAAGGGTGCCACGAGTAAGAGTAAAAAAAAACTAATTAGGTAGGTAACCAATAATTTTCACTATACTGTCCACACATTAAAAGGGTAATAGCGATTTAGCGAATGGGCTATTGAAGACAGAAATATCTTCATTGATGTAGTTACATTGTAACATTTTATTGCGGTCCGGCTTATATGCTGATACTACTGTATTTCAGGACCTGTCATTTTACACGACAACATTCCAACGAGAGTCTTGTATGAATTGAGTCAATATGAAAGTGTGAACGAGTCTAATAGCTTGATAGTTTGAAAGCAAAAAGCTGCAATGCAAGTGGTTAACACCCTCGACTGTTCAGCAACTGTTTCGCGTGTTTGAATGGTTAAACTTCGATTTGCTCCGGCAATTTGAAAACCACTATCTAGATTGGTTCTACTTGTGTAGGATATAATGTTTCGTACTTAGAGAAGGATGGTGGTTCGAATGTTCTATGAATTTGTATTGAGTCACGATTTTATAACTTAACTCAAAACTTGTCTAAATTGGCCACTTTTAGCGTAATCGGTAGAACTATTACTTGGGAATCAAATTGGAGGTATAAAAAAGTTAATGAAAAATGTAATTACCTTTGAAGTGTCTGTGCAAACTTGTTGAATACCTATTTCAATTAAGGGATTCTAAATCAAATTCATTAAGTACTTTTTTGATGAAATACTAATTGGACACGGGAGAACTAGCATACCGTAAATTTTTGGTTGTACCTATTGGCAAAAAACATACTCCGTACTAAGTACCCTCTGAAAATGTTACTACTATTAGTACTATAGGTACTTTAGTAGTATAGTTGACTGAAAACCCCTCGTCACCAATTTGAAATACAAACCATCTGGACAAAGGTCACTCCAACTGACATCAATTTGTTTCGGAATTTAACATTTAACGAGTTAAATTACTATAAAGTTTCATCAAAATCCATTTGGTATATCTAACGCGAGATAGTACCTACAAACTACAAACACCCATCCATCCAAACTTTCGCGCTTATTTCATTAGTACGATTAAATTTTGTTACTACGAGTAATATCAGTAATATAAGGTTACCGAACTCCAATCTAATATGGAATTTACCTCTCAGTACAAGAATTCTGTTGACTGTACCCATTGTAGCTCTCTCTCATCAAGTTAACCACTATAGCCTCTTATGTAGACGTAATAGATGCTATATTCCAACATAAATGTACAGCCTGATGTGCTACAGTGCTTAATTACGAATGCGGAGGCCGTTCACTGGTCCACGCGGCTCCTTTGAGCGCGATTATTAATTCACTCGCAAAACTTCAAGTGCTCATGTGGACGGTACGATTGCTGGCGGGTACACCTTAGTGTAGACATAGCCTAGGTGAGAACAGTCGATGCAAACAACAATGTGAATGATATAAATCATAAATAAGTAGGTAGGTAGTCAAAGTATGTCTCTACCTTAGGTACACTTAGGTATTATACTTTTCATAGATAGTTTTGCGGGTCCGAAGATAATAGACGACTACCAATGACATTCGCTATTATTGGCAACAGCTTGTTTGAATTTGAAGGAAGTCAATCGAGGTTTTCCTTCAGATTTTTATTTAATTCAGTTCAAAGCTTCATTATCACTTTTTTCATTTAATTTTGACGATTACGATTTTCCTTTTCCTTCAAGCTAAATTACTGACTCAATAATGAAAATCCTTGACCGTAATTATTTGGCAAAAGCTTTTTAGATTTCTCTATCAACAGTTTTACTAAAGATAAGTAACAAAGGTTACTAAATTTAATTCTTAAAAGTCTCAGTCAGGCTAGGGACCAGTCCATGGGATCCATTCCCATCAGATACAGCAAAACAAGTAAGTATTCAATGTACACATCGATTAAGCACGTCATCATGTCCGTCAACTCGATCAAAGCGGCATCTTTGTACTGCTGACAGCACATGAGACCATACATGTTTGTTGAAAAATAGACCCTATTACAACTATATAAGACACCACAGTGTCAGCTTGATGTGCCGTCGGTAGTCGTCATCAATTCAAGGCATGATCGTGGTAAATTATACGCCAACGCCGAAAAATGCGCGCGCGCAGATGGGGCGCCATATTGAAAGCATTTCGTCAAGCAAAAAAAATATAGGATAGGATCCATTGTTTCATTCAACTGTCACATTAATTACCAGCTAGACTTACCTACTTAAATTGAAATGAATATGGTCGTACTTTAGTATACCTAGATGGTGTGATCATATTTTTAAAGTATTCTACAATTTTTTGTGTAAAATTAGTAAAATGTTCTTTCTTTCTATTTACAGACTGAAATAAGTCTATTTATCTTTACTATGAAATCAGTTGCTTTTAAACAAGTTCTTTTGTTAATTTCGTTATCACACATATAATTCAAGCCGTGTGGTGACGGCAGAGTAGAATACATTTGTCACCAACCCCTACTCTTCCCGCGGGTGTCGTAAGAGGCGACTTAGGGACTACACATCAAACAGAGAATGGGCAGCAGCGCTCTCTGAAAAACATCAATCTTTTAAACTGCGATCTCCAACCCGCCTGCCTAGCGTGGAGATTATGGCAAAACCCTCCACTATAGTGGAGGAGGCTCATAGTCCAGCAGTGGACTGTAAAGGGCTGTTGATGATGATGATGATGACATTTAATTCGCTGTTTATTGCTCTGCACTACAAGCTGCAGTAAGGGGGCGTCCATAAATTACGTGAGACAATTTTGGCTATTTTTCAACCCCCCCGCCCCCCTTGGTGAGATTTGGTGAGATTTTGCCTGACCCCCTCCCCCACCCCCTAATCTCACGTGATATTTAAAAAAATCCGCAATTTAATAGTTTTGGAGTAATTTAACTGAGAAAGTTTATTTTTGTGTGCTTAGTGCGAGTTTGCATTTAACGTTGTCGCTAACGAGTGCATCAAAAAGATCTATAAATGTATATTGTTATTTTTTACGCAGTCGCTAGCGGATGACAAATTGATGTAAACTCGCACTAAACCTAGGTACTGATTACGAATAGATCCAGAAAAACACGTGTAGTGGCAGCGGTTAGTACTAGGGTCACATTGTTTTTTTTTACAGAAGTACCTAGCCTAATTATTGTTCCTTTCTACAAAATCACTATTAATCTAGCACAGTGTTTTTCAACCTGTGGGTCGCGACCCCCTGGGGGGTCAGTTAAGTGACCCCTATGGTAACACAATAACAGGAATTTTGTTTTCATAGGGGCCACTTAAAAATTAGGTATTGATAGTGAAAATGGGCATTAAACCCAGTTTTCTGGCAAACTCTATTTCTCTATTTCTTGCGGAAAAAATTACGTGATATTTCCCGAGACCCCCCCTCTCCCCCACGTGAGATTTAGTGAGGTTTTTGTTGACCCCCCCTCCCCCCTAAAAGTCTCACGTAATTTATGGACGCCCCCTAACTTCCTGACTAGCTTAATTAAATTCAACTGGAGTTAAGATTAATTATTAGCTCGGAACATCAAATCGCGCCAGTCAGTCGGTAGCTCTAATATTTAGAGCTTTGGATAAATGTTCCATAAAGTTAAGTTAAGCTTTATAACGTATTAAATTGCCCTAAATATTTCCAGGTTACTTCGTTTAATTGTTACGTTAATTGAAATTTAAATGGATCTCGCAAATGAAACATTAAGATAGAACTGAAGGGAGTTTAAACAAATACGACGTGATGTCTTTGTGTTACTAATACGCTACCTACTATGTTAAAAGTAAGTAATATTGTTATCTTTGATTGACATACTGATAGAATTGTATCTATTTTTTGTAATTTACATAGCTTTATTAATGGGAAATTGACAAAAGATTTTTAAAGGACCAACATACAGCAATGTGTTTAAACAATAATTAAAGTTGAAGTTTAGTTTTTAGTTGAGTTGGTAGAGATTTTCCTTGTTTCGATTTGGACCCGAAAATATACCTAGCTAAAAGTCACAGGCGACCGCTAGCTAAATCATATAGCAACCACTCGCGCTTGACTGTTATTGTTTTACGTTGCCCAAACAAACAGCTTTGCCCAATTTGTGTGTTAAGGGAGACGATTAAAATTTATCTCTGTTTGCGTCTCTAGTTCAGAT